ATCACGAATCGCCCCGACGGGTTGAGATGGAAAATGGTGTCCGCATCGAGGTACTTGGCGGGAACGACGGGCTTGATGACGTGCTCGCGAAGATCAGCCGCGATCTGGTCGTTGGAAACCGACTCGTCGTGCTGCGTCGAGATCAGAATGGTGTGAACGCGGACGGGCTCAAGGGCGCCGCTCTCGTCCTTCTTGTACTCGACGGTCACCTGCGTCTTGCCGTCGGGTCTCAGCCACTTGACGGCCCCGTTCTTTCGGACCTCCGTCAGCCTGGCGCCGATCTTGGTGGCCAGCACGTGAGTCAGGGGCATGAGCTCCGGCGTCTCGTCGGTTGCATAACCGAACATGATTCCCTGGTCGCCTGCGCCGATCTCCTCGGGCCTCTTCGTGCCCATACCGTGCACTCCCTGCCCGATATCAGGACTCTGCTCCTCGATGTGCACCAGAACCTTACACGTGTCGCAGTTCAACCCCACATCCTCAGAGATGAAGCCGATGCCGCGGCATGTCTCCCTCACGATCTTCTCATAGTCTACGCTCGCCCTCGTGGTAATCTCGCCGAACACCATCACCATTCCCGTCTTCGTGCACGTCTCACATGCCACCTTGCTGTCGGGATCTTCCGCGAGGCAGGCGTCCAAGATCGCGTCGGACACCTGGTCGCACAGCTTGTCCGGGTGGCCCTCATTCACGGACTCCGAGGTGAACAGGAAACTCACCATTTTCGCGGGCTTACACGCGAAGTATCCCGATCCACGTGAGGGAATTGATCCCGTGAGAGGAGATGGAGAAGAGAGAAGAGAGCGAGATCGAAGCGGAGCTCCAGGCGATGGCCGACAACCGACCCGCCAAACACCGACGGTCACTTTGGCGGGGGCGGCGGTGAAAGGGATGACCTCCCGGAATGGAAGAACCCCGCCCCGAATGACCGCCGGTGGAATGCGTGAGAGAGGATCTGTAGAGATGACTGCACGAAATGATGAATAAAACCGACGATGACTTGAGGTCTCACCAGTGTCACCACACCACTCCCGACGGATCCCGCAAAATATTCGGGGTTGCTCTCGGACGTGCAGGGAAGGCAAAATCCCGCTCGAGATTGCCCTTCTCCACACTGCCATCTTGCACCCACGGCTCCCGTACGCCAAGTCTGTCTGTGGGCCTCGCTGCTGGGCGCACGAAAACGTACCCTCACTAAGCTCGTGAGGTCGGGAAAACGAACCCTCACTCAGTTCGTGAGGGCGTGAGGGGTCACGAGTGAAAATGTTTGGTTTATAAAATAAAATAAAATAAAATAAATAAATAAATAAATAAATAAATAAAAGTCTGGTTTCGGTGGCTCGGCCACACGGCGCTCTCGCGAGGCCAAATGGACCACGTTTTTTTTCCGTGAGTCGAAAGCAATTACGTTTTTTCCGTGAAACGGTTTCCAATGTACCCCCAAAACAGTTCGAAAAGTTGTTGAAATGCCCCTGGGAGTTTGGGTCCTTTGTGAGATACCCCTAAATGGGATAGAGACGGCGAAGTGCCCCTGTCACAGTAGTGAAACGTCGCAAAATGCCCCGCTCGCCAATTGGACAGGGCATCTTTCACATGTTGCCATACCGGGCACCCGGCTACTTGTCCACATGCCCCGGTATTTTAGGCCATTGGACCCTTCTTTTTTTTTGTTTTGGTGGAAAACTATTCGAAATGCCCCTGAAGTTTACGTTTATTTGCGGCTTGCCGCTATGAAGGCCGACTTACCCTGTTACGCCCCTCGGGCCTTTAAAATTTTCCGCAGGCCCCTGTCAGCATGCGGGGTAACTTTCCAATATGCCCTTACTGGACTGCTGGTGGCGTTTCGTCGGTCGGTTCTTGAAATGCCCTCTGGAGTGGCACACATCTTTCTGTGATGCCCTTGCAGCAGTGGCGGCAGGAATTCGAACTCGAAAATGGTAGGTATTCCACGCGCCGCCACGGAAAAATGGTGCGGCAGTCAGTCTTCAAGTTCGCCACGCCATGGATCGCTGCTCCCTCTTCCTCCACCCATGCTCATCGCCCTCCTCCCTCCTCCTCCACCCATGTTCGTCACTCTCCTCTCTTCTCCTCCGGCCTCTATCCTCTATCCTCGTCCATTGTCGTAGTCCTTGTCCTCCCTACTTCTCTTCCCTCCTCTTCCCTTGTTCTCCCTCCTCCAACTTTCTCCTCGTCACCCCTCCCTCTCCTCCTCCTCGATTGTTGACTCCTAACCATCACCATGGCTGTCTTCTTGTCGTCATCACCCATGCACTCATGCGCATCTGTGTGTGTGTGTGTGTGTGTGTGTGTGTGTGTGTGTGTGTGTGTGTGTGTGTGTGTGTGTGTGTGTGTGTGTGTTC